GATGATTAATCACAAATTTTGATTCTTTCTAAACCTAGTAGATGTGTAGTAAAGAATTTATAGGAAAGACTCTCTTGCCCAAAGAAAAGAAAATCTGGCCTTTGCCCTTGCCTTCTGAGACATAACCTTTGGGCCCTAGGAATGTTATGCCTGATAGGAAGATCTTTGTTTGCCTGAAGATCTTGAGTCATATTGGATAGTCTAACAATCTGATTTAGGATGGGGAGGTGGCCACACCTGCATAGTCTTAGGGTGGGGACTCCAGAGAGATCAACAGTGTGACTTAGAGCAAGAGCTTTGGGTCACGTGGTATCTGCCAGCTTGGAGATAGAGATTAACCATGTGGGCAATCGACCAATTATGCCTGTCTGATGAAGCCCCACTACAAACTGAACACGACGCTTGGGTGAGCTTCCCTGGGTAGCAAATCTCTATGTGTGCATTGCCATTCAACAATGCTGGGGAGTAACCTGTCCTGACTCCACAGGAAGAGGACAATAAAAGCTCCACATTTGGTATTTCTGGACTGACTCTGCCCTGTGAACTTCTTTCCTTGGCTAGTTGTAATCTGTAACCTTTCCCTGTAGTAAACTATAACCCCAAATACAATAGCTTTCAGCGAGGTCTGTGAGTCTTTCTAGCAAATTATCGACCCTGAGGGTTCTATTCAGGGTTTTGACGGCCCCCTGAACTTAGTGTCAGAGTAAGGGCAGTTTTGGGGAACGTGCCTTCTAACTTTGTAGTTGGCCTACTTCAAAGGAAGTAGCAAAAAGTCTGCAGATTTTACTTTCTTTGCTTTCTTACAGAAAACAGTTTATATTTTAAGAAATCTGTATACTTTTAAAATAAAACATTCATTAGGCTCCTTTACCCCATATTTATCTATAATAGGTTCATGAACTCATTCAGTAAATACTGAATTTAACTGAGAGCAATTAAAGTAGTTAGGAAAAAATCCACTTGAATTCTTTTTTGTGTACATTTACGGAGCATTTGTTATTAAAGAGAAAATACTTTGTACTTTGTCTTATATTAATATTTATACTTACTAATTATATGATGTTGGGCAAATCACATAATTTCTTTGAGTTTCAGTCAGGTCTTTTCTAAAATCAAAGATATTACCTTTTTCATAGATACTGATTAAGTTTTAAGAATGCAAAGTAAAGGATGAAATTAGAACCATTTTAAAATTGTAGCCTAGTACCTGGCATACAGAACATGTTCCATAAATATTAGCTGAGATAATGATAATATTCTAAGAATTTCATAAGATTTGTGCTTTATAAATTTTATTGACTGAAGATTAATGAGTAGCTAACATTTCTGAACTCAATTCTTTACTTAAGAAGCTAATTTTCACCTCTGTGCAAATTTTTGAGCTGAAGGTACTATAACAATCCTAGACAAATCACCACTATCAACTAGATTCCAGTTATCAATTCCATACAAATCATTGTTCTTGAATGTATATGGCTTAAAATAATAAAATAGAATCAAACTACCTTGGCCAGCCACAGTGACTACCCACATCTGTAAATTCCAGCACTCTGGGAAAACAAGGCAAGAGGATCACTTGAGCCCAGAAGTTCAAGACCAGCCTGGGCAACAGAGTGAGGCCCCTGTCTCTACAAAAAATAGAAATAAAAAAATTAGCTAGGCATAGTGGCATGCATCTGTAGTCCTGGCTACTAGGGAGGCTGAGGTGGGAGGATCACTTGAGCCCAGGAGGTTGAGGTTGCAGTGGGCTATGATCATGCCACTGTGCTCCAGTCTGTGCAACAGAGCAAGACTTTGCCTTAAAAAGAAAAAAAAAAGAAAAGAATCAAACTACCTTCTACTTTTAATTATTGTATTGTTTGTTTCTCAAATATTTGAAATACATTGATTCCAGTGTTTTCATGCCTTGACTATTAATATCAATTTCTAGCCAAATTTGGATTGCTACATAACTATACTTTTTTTTTTTTTTTTTTTTTTTTTTTTGCAGTTTTACCATTGCCACTAGCACGGAATTGTGATGACTAATGCAGGTGTTTTTTTTCCTCTTCTTTTCACAGATGTTGAAATGCTGTTTTTTAAAGCTTTTTTCCTCCTATTTTGATGCATCAGATAAGGTATATTCTTGGAATGATGACCAACCCCTGACTTAAAATTTAACCAATGTTGTGAAATTCCCCATCATTTTTAATTAAATACAAGCTGTTTTCAAGTCAGTCGTTCTTAGATTATGACTCTAAAAATAAATGATTCCCATGGCCTTAGTGCAGTTTCTGCTCACACAAGTGAGCATTAAGGACAAATGTTTCCTTAGGATACAGTAAATACAGCAGAATGTATGTCAGAGTGTATCACCATTATGTCTCATAAAAACGCTACATGGTATGTGTGTGCAGCCAAGTTTGCTATACAACTTGAGTAATACAGGGGTGATTTTACTAAGCACATGGGAGGTTTCTTGGTCTTGGAAATAAAATGGTTTTTTGTTTTTATTGTTGTTTTTAAATACCATAAGCCATGAAAGCAATCTTCCATCAAATATTCAAATATAAACTGTTGACTTCCATTCAGATCCGCAAGCTGCATGGTGGACTTTGTAAGCTTCTTTTTGAAATTTGATGTTTCCAGGATAGCACAAAAGGAGAAAGGAGGTACAGTAAGAGGAAACAAAGTCACTGTTCTCCAGTTCTTTTTACTTGATCCTCTTCCTTTACTTGACTCTCCTTCCACTCCTTCAGCATAATCGGTATTAATATCCGTAAGCATCTGGGGAGTCTGGGCTTTTAGTGACAAAAGTCTGTGAGCGAAGCCCCTCTGAGAAGAGAACTCTGCTCTCTAGGCCTTTCAGAAGTGGGCAGAGATCGGAAACCGGTTTCTACGGACGGAGGACGCGTTGCTAAGGTACTGAAGGGTGGGGGCGGGGCGCGTAGCCCTCGGAGCCAGAAGAGGGAGGAAAGGAAGACGAGGTTTGTTTCAGGGTGCGGAAGCGTTAGAAAAGCGGAAAATCAAAATTTGTACGAGGGTGGGGGCGAAATAGGAAAAATATCGTTTTACATAAACGGCTTTTCTGTCTCTGTAGTCGGTGGGACGTTCTCTAGCGGGGCCTCGACAGGGAGAGTGTGGGTCAGGTCAGGCGAGTGTGGGACCGCGGCGGGAGGCGGGCCCGGGGGCCTCTTCCAGGTTCGCTGAAGAACCTTTCCGTCTTCTAAACTAAATATTAATGAGCGTCCTCAATATTGCCCTTAATTTTGCTCTCCCGTGAAACGACCATAGGCATAGAGCGTTTGAGTCGGGTTCCCTACGTTTCCAGCGAGAAGGAGGCGCCTGGGGGAAGGTGACGAGGGGCGCCGGGGCCACTTAATTGATACACTTCCAAATTGACGACTCCCAACCTCCTGGAATGGCTGGTGGGAGCTGATCACCCCTGCGGTAATTGTGCTGCGATTTCGAGCTGGTTAATCAATTCTTCCAATTATTATCAGATTAGTTGCCCACAATAATACTCCACAATACACGTACATCATAGTTTTTAAATTCCTTAATAGTTTTTCTTAGAAACTTCCTTTCCAGGCCGGGCGTGGTGGCTCACGCCTGTAATCCCAGCACTTTGGGAGGCTGAGGCACGCAGATCACTTGAGGTTAGGAGTTCGAAACCAACCTGGCCAAAATGGCGAAACCCCGTCTGTACTAAAAATACAAAACCTAGATGGGCATGGTGGTGTGTGCCTTGTAGTCCCAGCTACTCGGGAGGCTGAGGCAGGAGAATCACTTGAACCTGGGAGGCGGAGGCTGCAGTGAGCTGAACGCAGCCACTGCACTCCAGCCTGGGTGACAGAGTGAGTGAGACCCTGCCTCAAAAATAAGAATAAATAAATAAGGAGCAAGAAAATTCATAATGTAGTGCTAAGCACATGAGTCGGGTTTTTAAATTAGTTCTCAGTGCCTGGGCTGTACTAGCTTGTGGGGACTGCCGCTAAGCCTGTTCCAGCACTTGGGGCGGCGGGCGGTCAGGGTCGGACCATACTGGCTACACTGGAACCCATCCTAAGAATACAAAAACTAGCGGGTGCTGTAGCCAGCATGAGGCTGAGCGGAACGGTAACGGGAGGGGGCTGAGCTGAGACGGACGCCTGGGCGACAGAGCCTCAAAAAAAAAAAAAAAAAAAAAAAAAAAAAACAACAGGAAACAGAATTTGTTTTCTCACAGTTCTAGAGACTGAAAGTTGGAAATGAAGGGGTGGGCAGGGTTGTTTTCTTCAGAGGCCTCACTCCTTGCCTTGGGGTGCTGCCCTGCCTTCTCACTGAATCTTCACAAGGACTTTCCTCTGTGTATCCTGTGTCCTAATCTCCTCTTCTTATAGGACACCAGTCATACTGGCCAGGGGCCTCCCCTAACAACCGCATTTTAACTTTACTTTTTAAAGGATGTACGTTCAAACATAAGCACATTCTGAGATCCTGGGGCCTAGGACGTCAACATATGCATTTGGGGACAACATAATTCAGCCTATAATATGGGCCATTTATCAACATTTTGGATTTAAAGAAAAAAGATTCCCCTAAGTCTGTCCTTGGAATGTGAGGTGAGATGGAGATAACTCAGCCAGTTGCCTACTTATTGAGTCAACATTAATCATTTAACAGATGAAGTGAGTCCTTACTGTGGTCTCAATAGTGGGCTATGTCAGATAAAAGTGTAAGAAGTGGCCTTGGGCCGGGCGCGGTGGCTCAAGCCTGTAATCCCAGCACTTTGGGAGGCCGAGACGGGCGGATCACGAGGTCAGCAGATCGAGACCATCCTGGCTAACACGGTGAAACGCCGTCTCTACTAAAAAATACAAAAAACTAGCCGGGCGCAGTGGCGGGCGCCTGTAGTCCCAACTACTCGGGAGGCTGAGGCAGGAGAATGGCGTGAACCCGGGAGGCGGAGCTTGCAGTGAGCTGAGATCCGGCCACTGCACTCCAGCCTGGGCGGCAGAGCGAGACTCCGTCTCAAAAAAAAAAAAAAAAAAAAGAAGTGGCCTTGTCCTCAAGGAGTAAGCGTTTGAACTGATAAAGCCACATAATGGAAGTGAATTTTAATTTAAGCCTCCATTTTCTAGATAATTTCTCAGGCCTTTAGTTTGTGACTTTAGAGATTCTTAGTTTTCCTGAGTTGTTTAGAACTTGCTGAAGAACCTTTCTCAGCTGAGCCTATTATATTGATGACCCTGGGTTTTGTTATTTTTGTTTGTTTTTAGTCCCAAAGGTGCTGTTAAAACAAAATTGTTCTCTTAAAATATTTAAGACATTTTTATTTTAGATATGACTGAGTCTCTGATATGCTAATAATATTGACCTACAATTTTTGTTGTGAACAAGCCTTTGCAGTGAGGCCTGTAGATGATTCACTGTGAGAGTAATTGGGAATTCATTCTGCCCCAATTGGTATAGCCTCTATTTCATTGTGTTCTTTAAAAACAAACAACAACAACAAAAACTGTCACTACTGAGCTAGAAATTAAGAACATAAATCCAAGTTTCCTTTCAAAACACTTTTACCAAGTTTAGATTGGCAAGAACCCCATTTTATAATAATTCACTCAACTTTTTATTTCATCTTCCAGTAAATCATTATGAAGTAACATCATTTATTACAGATAAATTAGGATTACTCTTCCTAAAAAGTTATCTTCAGAGACATCTGCAAATTAAATTGTAATTTTCAAATCCCTGTCAGATGTAAAACGCTTTGCCTGAGGCTGAGATTCAGAGGTAAGTAAGTCAATTCTTGCTTTAAATGAGTTTTCAACCTAGTGAAGAAGAGATTTGTCAAAGAGTAAACCTCTTTTTTTTTTTTTTGAGATGGAGACTCACTCTGTCACCCAGGCTGGAGTGCAGTGCCACAATCACGGCTCACTGCAACCTCTACCACCTAGGTTCAGGTTATTCTCCTGCCTCAGCCTCCAAAGTAGCTGGGATTACAGGCGTGCACTACCACGCCCAGCTAACTTTTTTTGTATTTTTAGTAGACACAGGGTTTCACCATGTTGGCCAGGCTGGTCTTGAACTCCTGACTTCAAGTGATCCGCCTGCCTCAGCTTCCCGAAGTGCTGGGATTACAGATGTGAGCCACCACACCCAGCGAGTAAACCTCTTAAAACCTGGTGTGGTGGTTCTTGCCTGTAATCTCAGCTACTCAGGAGGCTGAGAGGCTGGAGGATTGCTTGAGGCCAGGAGCACACAACAAATAGACTGTCACCCAGACAAGGAATGAGATAATGCCAAGGAAAGTTTCATAGAAAAGGTAGTCTTGGCTGGGCGCTGTGGCTCACGCCTGTAATCCCAGCACTTTGGGAGGCCGAGGCGGGTGGATCACAAGATCAAAAGTTTGAGACCAGCCTGGCCAATATGGTGAAACCCTGTCTCTATTAAAAATACAAAAATTAGCTGGGCATGGTGTCGGGCACCTGTAATCCCAGCTACTCAGGAGGCTGAGGCAGGAGAATCACTTGAACCCAGGAGGCAGAGTTTGCAGTGAGCTGAGATTGCAGCCACTGCACTCCAGCCTAGACTGCGAGACTCCATCTCAAAAAGAAGAAAAAAAAGAAGAGGTAGTCTTTATACCGTATTTGATAAAGAGTAGGCTTTTGACTGGAAGACATGTGGGAGAACATTCTGAGTAGAAGGAAACACATGAGTAAAGGGTGTGCTTGGGAAAAGGGCAGGACGTGTCCAGGAAGTAAGAATGGTAGAAAATGGTGGAACACAAAGGGGTAGGATGAATAAACTAGAAAGGTGGGCTGAGCCAGATCCTGGACTGTCTTTTCTTCAGTGGTCTCGTGTGTCCTCGGAAGAGTTTGGGCGTTCTTCAGGTTATGAGAGCAAGCCAAGGTTTGTGGGCTGGAGCTGGTCCTGATCAGTGTCCTATTTAAGAAAGACAGCTCTGATGGCATTTTGTTTGTTTGTTTTTGAGAAGGAGTCTCACTGTGTCACTAGGCTGGAGTTCAGTAGTGTGATCTTAGCTCACTGCAACCTCTGCCTCCCGGGTTCATGTGATTCTCCTGCCTCAGCCTCCAGACTAGCTAGGATTACAAACATGCACCACCATGCCCGGCGTATTTTTCTTTTTTTAATAGAGACGGGGTTTCATCATGTTGGCCAGGCTAGTCTCGAACTCCTGACCTCAAGTGATCCGCCTGCCTTGGCCTCCCAAAGTGCTGGGATTACAGGTGTGAGCCACCATGCCCAGCCTGATGGCATTTCAAAGAATCAATATTTGAGGAATGAGGAGGAAGGTTTGGGGCAGGCAAATTAGGGGGGTGTATAGTTTGATAACCCAAAGGAGGGAAAGTAACAACCTGAAGGTTTGAAGAAGGACAATGGCAATGAAAATCAAAGCAAGCTTAAGAAAGGTCTGTCTTCTTGATGTTAATGTTGCCCCACTGTTCAAAGAATTCTGTGAGAGGCCACTGATCCATTCCACCCCTGAGATTCTATGAGTTAGGCTTCTGTGACCACATCAGAACCCTATATTCTAGATGAGAGCACTTCCCTCAACTCTAAGTAGAATGCTTCAGAAGACGAGAGAGATGATAACTAGCAGGGTCCGGAGAAGACATTTTTTTCTGTTTTGCAAATAAATTTGAGCATGCTAAGAGGAATAAATTTGTGAAGGAAATAGATAAAAGTTGCAGGAGAAAGGGGATAACTAATAGAGATAATTCTTTCAGGAGACTGGAGGCAATGGAGTCTAGAGTACATCAGGAGGGATTAGCTTTGGGTGGGAGAGCCAATGCCTCTGTTAAAATTGAAGTGCAGAAGGGTTGGGAATGAATAATACTTTGGTATGAGAGGTAGGAGCTGAAGAAGCTCTTGCTTGATGGTGCCTGTTTTCTTAGTGAAATAGGAGAGAGCATCTCCCTTGCCTAGGAAGATGGAGATCACAAGGGAAAATGTTTACCACGTGCCAACTTCCTCAGTAAATTTGATAGAATACCTAGTACAATGTCTGCATGTAATACATTTAGGTAGCCAGTGACCAAATGAACAAATAAATGCTTATCATCAAATAACAATATATGTTCATAGAAAAAGAAGTATAAAGTAGGAACACCAAAGTATATATTAAAATTAAAAAGATATAATAAAGGACATAAACATAGATCACACTGAGGAACACTTTATATATATATTTATAGATATGATATATAAATATATGTGTATATATATGACAGAGTCTTGCTCTGTCACCCAGGCTGGAGTGCAGTGGCGTGATCTCAGCTCCCTGCCACCTCCACCTCCCAAGTTCAAGCAATTCTCCCACCTCAGACTCCTGAGTAGCTGGGACCACAGGCGCTCGCCACCTAGCCTGGCTAACTTTTTGTATTTTTAGTAGAGACAGGGTTTCACCATGTTGGCCAGGCTGATCTCAAACTCCTGACCTCAAGTGATCCACCTGCCTTGGCCTCCCAAAGTGCTGAGATTACAGGTGTGAGCCACTGCACCCTGTCCATTTAATATCATCTTGATTCATCTTGCATTAAAAGATTAGTGGTTAGTTTATGCAAAGTAGTTGGGGAACACCATCATATTAGTACTGATGTTCCTTTGCTCTCAGCATTTATTTGAGGAGACACAAAATAGGCCCTTGATGAGCTTATGAAATATAATGATGAAAACAAGCAAGTTCATGTATAGTGTTTCCTCACTTCCACTTTTTCCCAGGGCCATTTAGCCATTAGGCACCATTGGCACATTGCCAAAGACCAATGGGAGAGAAGAATTTGCAAACTGAAAAAATTGTATTGGTTTCAAGCTATGAAATTAATACTACAAAACTAACATTCAGTCGATTTCATTAACTGTCAAATTTAGTATTCATAAAACTGTTGTTGACCCTTGAAAATAATTGGTTTTTCTCACTTCAAAAAAATTCATGATCTGCACAATGATTTTCCAGAAATCATTCACAGCCAAATAATTTACTCTTAGCAAAATATTTTTAAAGCAAAAACATAAAAATTATTTCATGCTATGGTTAACTGTATATAGAAAAATACAGCTGTGTGTGCATGTGCGTGCGTGTGTGTGTGTGTGTGTGTGTGTACAATGGGATGATCTTTTGCCTCTTAAAATGTCCTATGTGGTGTTGAAGATGGGGTGATTAAAAGTGAGAGGTGTAGGACACCTTACTCTAAAAAGATCTGCTTTCTGTTCTTTCTCACAAGTAAGCAGCATTGTTTCAGCTGGCCCTCATGTAGTTTATACCTTCCCCAAACTGGGAAACTCATTCACTTCAATACATTGATTCTTCCAGTTATTTACCTGTGTCTTGCTGAAAAACAGAAATCTTTGTCTCCAGTAAAATAAACTTAGGTGGGGAATATGAGCACCTTCTCCATCCCCTTGAACTCATATTATGTTTAAGGGAAACAGAAAAGCTAAAACTCCTCGGAGAGTTTTAGTTTAGTTTAGTTTTACAAGAGGAATGGTTCTTGGGTCTGAAAAGAAAATATGTCCACATAATCATAATCTATATTCTCTTTCAAAATCTGTCCCCTATTGTTCTGTAAGAAACCCAGAAAGTCATAAGCATTCACATTGTGCTAATGCCTTTACCCTGTCAATGTCAAATAAAATATAGAGACTAATCTCTAAAATCAAAATGTTTATTTGGGAGGAAATAATTGCAATTAGGGTATACACACAGAGCAGTAGTCTTCAGTATATTCTGAAGAACAAAGAATAGGTTAGAGGTTTTATAAAACCAGGGAATGTTACAAATTGGCACTAGTGAGGTTTTGAGGCACTGACAAGATTGATAAGTGAAGGTTGTGGGCAAAATTGGCTTAGAGTTGCCACAGGTCTTTTCAGTAGCTATTAGATACAACTGGTTTAGGTTACAGCAGTCAATTTCAGCTGCCAGACTTGCAGATGGACTGCATTTTTGGAGCAATGTTCTGTGCCCTGAGTGTTTTCTCTTACCCTGACTTCTCACTGTGTTTTAGTTAGGAACCACAAGAGTGACCCATTTCGTATGATCAGCTTTCACATTCCTGGATCTCCCCAGCATGCAACCTGAGGTTGTGTGGTTTGTCACAAGGCATGCTATCTGCTTGTACCCGTATGGCCCAGAATTTCCTCTGTGTCACATTTTTTTAAAGAAATGGGGTCTTGCTCTGTTTGTCACCAAAGCAGGAGTGCAATAGCATGATCATAGGTCACTGCAGCCTGGAACTGCTGGACTCAAATGATCCTTTTGATCCTCCCACCTCAGCCTCCCCAGCAGCTGGGACTATAGATGCGTGCTACTGTGCCCGGCTACTTTTTTTTTTCTCTTTTTGAGATGAGGTCTTGCTATGTTGCCCAGAGTGGTCTCAAATTCCTAGGGTCAAGCAATCCTCTTGCATCAGCCTCCCAAGTAGCTGGGATTATAGGCACGCACCACCACACCCAGGCCGTCTGTGTAATTTCTTTGTCACACTGGACTACATCATGTGATGGAGGGAAAATCTGGATGTAGTGACATGATAGAGGGCATGCTGGAATGGGATGTCACTATCAGTGCATGAAGAATTCATACTCAGGGCAATGTATGGTGAAGGAAAAAAGAGTAAAAAAAAAAAAAAAGCTGAAAGAAACCAATTACAAAATAATGTAAACTTTTGGCATAGTATCCTGAATCTTTCTCCTTTGATGAACTGTTGTCTCCATGTGGCACTGCTGGAATAATATACAATATAGGAGAAATATCAGATTTTTTTTGAGCTGGAAAGAACCTTAGTATTAACATTAATATTCATTGAAAACATTGATGATTCTGTACTTTCTGTGAACCATATAACTTTTACACTTAAATGCCCCTGGAGCCCATTTAATTCAGTGAGCAAAAATATACTGACTGCATGGTCATCTACACTATCTTTTTTTTTCTTTTTGAGACAGAGTCATACTCTGTCAGCCAGGCTGGAGCACAGTGGCACGCCATCTCGGCTCACTGCAACCTCTGCCTCCTGGGTTCAAGTGATCCTCCTCCTCAGCCTCCCAAGTTGCTGGGATTACAAGCATGTGCCACCATGCCTGGCTAATTTTTGTATTTTTAGTAGAGACAGGGTTTCACTATGTTGGCCAGGCTGGTCTTGACCTCCTGACCTCAAGTGATCTGCCTGCCTCAGCCTCCCAAAGTGCTGGGATTACAGGCATGAGCCACTGTGCCTGGCCCATCTACACAGATTTTTTAAATAAATAAATAAAGGGAGTTTTGGGTTGATATTCCTGGATTCTTGCCTCTACTCTGCCCTAGCTATTTCTACTACACTAATAGGGTACTTTGTGGCCTTCAGTTTTCTCATCTGAAGATGTAATAAATTAGACCAGGTTCTGATGTCTTATACAGCTCCCTAAGCTTAATATGGACTGCTTGACCTCAGATGAGACTGTTAGCAATATTAATTAACTAGGAAATATGAACTATTATGGCAATGGAACCTATCCAGCTTAGTTGTTGCTACTTATGTGTGACTAATTACCTGCTACATGCTGTTAACAGTCTTGGATCACTGACCAATTTAATTTGAAGCAATTAATTATAGAAATATGAGTTCCTTGCATTTACTTTGATTAAAATTATATCATGACAGAAAGAAAATAGATATGTCCAAAGTCCTACTCCTGGCCGGGTACGGTGGCTCACATCTGTAATCCCAGCACTTTGGGAGGCTGAGACAGGCGGATCACTTGAGGTCAGGAGTTTGAGACCAGCCTGGCCAACATGGTGAAACCCTGTCTCTACTAAAAATACAAAAATTAGCTGGGTGTGGTGGCGGGCACCTGTAATCCCAGCTATTCAGGAGGCTTAGGCAGGAAAATCGCTTGAACCCAGGAGGCAGAGGTTGCAGTGAGCCAAGATCATGCCACTGCACTCCAGCCTGGGTGACAGAGCAAGACTCTGTCTCAACAACAACACCACCACCAAAATTAAGTCCTACTCCTAGCTTGATATGTTTTTAACTTAAAAAGAAAAAAAAAAAAGGAAATAGATATAATTCAAGCCACATGGTCTTGCTTCAAGTATAAGTCACATATGGTTCTCATGGTAATCATGAACTTTCTCCCCCTCACCTTTATCATAAATTTAAAAATTCATGGGGCCTGTACACATCTGGGAGTTCTGATCATATGGCCTTCAACTGAAAAAACTTGGGTACATTTACAATTCTATGATTTACTGTATGATTTAAACAATTCTATTATTTACCTAAAACAGTAATGTAAAAGTGGGTCTTTTGAAAACTTATGCCTAGTTATATGTTTAAATTCGAATTGATTTGTTCTTCTTCCTCCTTATTTTAAAATAGGAATTTAGTGATTGACAATGGCAGAAAAAATCTTAGAGAACTTAGATGTCCTTGATAAGCAAGCAGAGAGAATCTTGGCCAGAAGAACAAAGGTTTGTTAAGTATAAGCTACAATTCAATTTAATCATTAACAGGTTAACATTTCAAATGTGAATAATTTTACTTTTTAACTAATGATACATTAATATGATATAAACTAATTTGTAAAAAGCAACTATCCTGGCTGAAAAGGTAATGTATAAAAATATAAAAATTTTATTGCTGAGTAGTATTCCATTATATAGATGTACAAAGTTTCAAGCAATCATCCAATGAAGGGCTTTTAGATTGTTTTCATGGTTTGACTAGTAAAAATAAAGTTGCTTAAAAAATCAAATAAAGCTGCTATGGACATTTGCATCCAGGTTTTTGTGTGAACATGAGTTTCCATTTCTCTGAAGTAAATGCCTGAGAGTGTGATTGCTGGTGCAAACTTTCTCTTAACTTTAGCAAGCTCAGAACCACAAGATTTGGTTTGAGTTCCCCCAATACAATGAGTTTCTCCTCCCTGCACCTCAGCTCTGAAACCACCTCCGGGAAGTAAGCTGGGCTATTGGAGGGTGGACCTCAGTTGTTTCCCTTCTCTCAGCGATCTGTCCTACTCTGTTTTCTAATAGCTGAGGGTAGTTGTTTTCATACATTTTGCCTGAGCTCCTAGTTGTTGAAAGCAGGCGATTAATTCCATAGTGCTTCATCTATTGGCAGAAGCAGAAGTCTCCCATATCCTTTGACTTTGCTTTCAGGGCTTTCATCTCTTTATTCCTTTGTGCTATGCTCTGAGAGAATTTTTTAGAGAAAACTTTCGGCTCCTTTATCCACCTTTTAGCTAGATCCTTTTTCTCTTTCAGTCCATTTGTATAAGGATTTTAACAAAGTCCTCTTTTGATTGCTTTCTTCACTCTATTTCTGGCTCCCACGACTAGAGGAAGATCGGTGTGATTCACCGTGTGCATGGCTACAGGAAGAGGAGCTGGCTGGAGAGACATGCCTACTATGGTTCCAAGAACTCTCTGCATCTAAATATCTAGGTCTTTCCTTACATTCTGTATTTTAGAATTAGGAGGGAGCCTTAATAATCCTCTAGTCCTACCCCCACATTTTACAGATGGGAAAAGAATGGCTCAGGTCACACAGCAAAGGCATAAAAACAGTTGGTGCACTAGACCCCCAATTTTCAATCTGTACTATTTTTCCATTATTGCCTGGCACCTAAATTCTCTCTCTCTCTCTCTCTCTCTCTCTGTGTGTGTGTGTGTTTGTGCACGTAAAGTGAGATTATTTTTTTTCTCTCCACCTAAGATTTTCCCCATATAAAAAGTACTCATCTTTTTTTTTTCCACTTTGGCTTTGCTGCAGATAAACAGGCTTCAGAGTGAAGGAAGAAAAACAACTATGGCTCTACCCCTGACATTTGATTTTCAGTTGGAATTTGAAGAGGCTATTGCTACATCTGCATCTAAGGCAATATCAAAGATCAAAGAAGACAAGTCATGCAGCATTACAAAATCAAAAATGTAACTATCATAACCACCTTAAATTTTCAGTTCAGAATTTGTTTCTTTGTTTGTTTTTGAAACAGGGACTCACTTCATTGCCTAGGCTAGAGTGCAGTGGTGCAAACATGGCTCACTGCAGCCTCAACTTCCCACCTTGGCCTCCCGAATAGCTGGGACTACAGTCGTGCACCACCATGCCTGGCTAATTTTTTATATTTTTAATAGAGATGGGGTTTTCCCATGTTGCCCAGGCTGGTCTTAAACTTCTGACCTCAAGAGATCCACCCACTTGGGCTTCCCAAAGTACTGGTATTACAGGCATGAGCCACCACACCTGGCCCAGTTCAGAGTTTTAAAACATTACTTTATATTTGTCTTAGATTATGCAATGTATATTAAATGAAAGTTGTATGGCATATTTTATAAGGGTTATGAGTTAAAATATACTAGATTAGCTTTCTGAATATTCCTAGTTTATAAAATATTTATTATGTATAATATTTTACTAGTGTAGATGGTAATTACAATTCTGAATTTTCTTGAGCTCAATTATGTTGCCCCAAATTAATGTCAGGATTTAATGCAAACTTTAACTGATATGCTTAAGAAAAAGTCTGCCTAGAAAGCCAAGTAAGGCAATTTCTCTGCGCACTTAGAAGGGATAGCCTAAATATGTCATACTTGGTCTTTCACTGGCATTTAGTGCATGCATAATGCTATAAAATTTTTCCAAATACATCAGAATTGTAAAGGAGAGTTCAGAAAAAAGAAATACTAAGATGTGGAATCAATAGAACTACAAATTAGTTGGACATTGGTGGTAGCGTGGATACTGTCCTTATCTCATTTATTCTGGGTAACAAGTTTTCCTCACTTGTTCTCTGCCTAAGTACAAAGCACTACAGTGCACCCAGTCACCAAGCCCAAAAGCTCACAGTCATCCTATTGAATGGGGTACAGTAGTGATGAAGAGCACAGGCCCTGAAATCAGACTGCTAAGGTTTAAATCCAGCCTTGCCATTTGTTAGCTATGTGACCTTGATTTTCACACATAGTTTAGTTAGGCAGCAGCTATGACACTATACACTAAGCAGCCTACATGAGCACTGTGACATTTGTGGGCTGGGCACGGTGGCTCACGCCTGTAATCCTAACACATTGGGAGGCTGAGGTGGGTGGATAGCCTGAGATCAGGAGTTTGAGACCAGCCTGGGCAACATGGTGAAACCCCATCCCTACTAAAACACATTTTTTAAAAATTAGCTGGGCTTGGTGGTACATGCCTGTAGTCCCAGCTACTTGGGAGGCTGAGGCACGAGAATTGCTTGAACTCGGGAGGCAGAGGTTGCTGTGAGCTGAGATCACGCCACTGCACTCCAGCTTGGGCAATAGAGCAAGACTATCTCAAAAAACGAATAAACAGACCATGACATTTGCATCTAAGACTACTCCTGCTTACTTACATTTTCATGTAAGTGTTCTGATTAAGACCTACCACCTGATTGTCTCCAAGTAGCTTTCCTCATGCAGCAGTTTTGTATTATTGCTCAGAGTGAAACAAACTTTTTTAGCCCGATGTTTTAGTGCAGTTTTACAGATGAAAAAACTAAGTCTGGGTGAGCTTAAACAATTTGCTCAAGGTCACACAGCTAACAAGTTGCAAGGCTGGATTTGAACCTTAGAAGTCTGATTTCAGAGCCTGCGTTCTTCATCACTACTGTACCCCATTCAATAGGATGACTGCAAGCTTTGGGGCTTGGTAACTAGGTGCATTGTAGTGCTTTGTACTTAGGCAGAGACCAAGTGAGGAAAAGGAGATTGGGGTGGACAAGAGGATCAAAGTGAGAAGGGCTGGGATTTATTTTGTAGATGTTAAGTTTTAGATGCCCATGGGAAATTCAGGTAGAGATATCTGGAAGAAAGTTGGACAAGCAAGTCTGAATCTAAAGTAAAAAAACATTATTTGTGTAGCTAATATCTGTCATTTTCATAATCAGAATCAAGTATTCTGATTATGGCACAAAATACAGCTCACTCAGATTTTTGTTATTCTTGATTTACCAGGATATCAGAACATGTTTCCATGTAGAACTCTAAGATAAGACAAAGGAGTTTGTTTCTAGCACAAGTAAATACATATCGGTAGTTTATATAATTTAGCTTTATCACAAACTTCTTACATTACTACTTTATTTTTTATGTAGACACAGCCAATAATTCTGCTCCCAAATAATTTATAGAACTATCCATAGTGAAATGGAATATTTTAGAAATACACAGAAAAACATTGCATAAAATGGAAGCTGAGAATGTGGAGAAGGGAAAATGTATGTCATGATTTTTGCATTTTATATTTACATATTACATATATGCCTTTGTGTAGCAGTATAGTATATGGCTAATGACTCATTAGGCACATTTAAAGGTAACATGCAATGTTTTATGGCAGTATTTCCCAGGATGATATTGTTGCTATCCCTTTCCTGCCTGATAAGATTATTTTCTAAATAGCTTATACAGGCATCATTGATCTTGTGTTAGTGACAATATAACCCATCAATAACTGAGCAACGCTCCTTTTAAGTGTAACCTGGATGACTGGGATGTTTGGGGCTAGCAGCAAAGCCAGAGTCTTAAGTATAAAAGGCAAAGAGGCACATATTTCTAAGATCCAAAGACCAAGTAAATTCGGTTTGATCAATATCCATATGTCTAACACAAGCAAAAACCATGTGTCCAACACCAGCAAAAAAAAAAAAAAAAAAAAAAAAAAAAAAAAAAAACATAAAACTTTCAAGAATTTACACAAGAATTAGGCTATAACTCTAGGCCGGGCGTGGTGGCTCAAGCCTGTAATCCCAGCACTTTGGGAGGCCGAGATGGGCGGATCACGAGGTCAGGAGATCGAGACCATCCTGGCTAACACGGTGAAACCCTGTCTCAATACAAAAAACTAGCCGGGCGTGGTGGCGGACGCCTGTAGTCCCAGCTACTCGGGAGGCTGAGGCAGGAGAATGGCGTGAACCCGGGAGGCGGAGCTTGCAGTGAGCTGAGATCCGGCCACTGCACTCCAGCCTGGGTGACAGAGCAAGACTCCATCTCAAAAAAAATAAATAAATAAAATAAAATAAAAAAATAAAAATAAATAGGATATAACTCTAGCCAAAGAAAATAAAATTTGTTTGAAATAATTGAGATGATGATCTTGAATATGTATCTAAGTCCAAGCAGCAGCCTATCTGAACTATGGCATCTGCATCTAAGACCACTCCTATCTACTACCTTCCTGTCTCTCAGTAGCTTTCCTTATGCAGCAGTTTTGTACTATTCCTCAGACTGAAACAAACTTCCTTAGATATTGGTGAATTCAACCAAAAGATACAGTTCCTAGTAACACTCATAGTTTTAACACTCCCTGTATAATTTTTGTTTAATAAAATAGAACACTTGGCTGGGCGGCTGTGGCTCATGCCTGTAATCCCAGCACTTTGGGAGGATGAGATGGGAGGATTGCTTGAGCCCAGGAGTTTGAGACAAACTTGGCCAACACAGTAAGATCCTGTCTCTACTGAAAACAATTTTTTTTTAAAAATTAGCCAGACGTGGTGGTGCACACTTATAGTTCCAGCTACTTGTGAGACTAAGGCAGGAGGATTGCTTGAGCCCACGAGTTTGAGGCTACAGAGAGCTATGATCACACCACTGCACTCTAGCCTGGGCAACACAGCAAGACTCTATCTAAAAAAAACAAAAAAACCCCAAATACAACTCTTTAAAATAGCAAAACATATTAATTCCTTGCTATATTTAAAAATATAAGAACTCAATTAATTTATGCAAAAATGAAGAAATATAACAGATGTTGTAAATTGCCGTTTAATTCTCTGGACATACCAAGCATTGCTATTTTATGTAGTCCCCTGTGGGTCTCTGTCTGTTACCTTTTTTTGTTGTTGTTTAGAAGCTTATTGTATTATCTCCTCACATGCCTGGTTATTTTTTATCGAGAATGGGACAATGCCATTGTAAAAGTATAGATATTTGAAGCTCTAGATGGTTTCTTCTCCAGAGAAAATTTGTCCTGGTTTTTGGCAAATGACTAGGCTAGGGGCATTTGCAATCCTAGATCGGGTAGAGATCATTCAACACTAGACTTCTGTTCTTTTGAGGGCTTGTCTATTTATTGCTCTCCATTAAATAGGTTACGAACTATAAAGCTTTGGGGTCCCAACCCAAGTCCGAAGGGTATTCTGGGGCCTTTCTTCTGTGGGTCCTGAATTTCAGTTTTGTTTCCATAGCCCTATAAGTTTGCTAAAAGCAACACAGGGCTTTTTGAACTCTCCTGCTGATTTGGAATTGACAAACATGCAAGTCCAAATGCCATTCTTACCTGAGCTTCACTCTTCTTACAGCTCTTGGCCCCCTAAATCTTTACTGCTTTGGGAGCTCTCAGGTATACTCAAATATTTTGATATTTTGTCCAGCTTTTCTAGTTGTTCTTAGAGGGATAACTAGTCCAAACCACCAGCTTCTATTTCCAGAAGTGAACCCAAATTGCTATTTAATGTAATATAGTTGACCTTTGAACAACACGGGTTTGAACTACTTGGTTCCGTTTATATGTGGGTTTTTTCAATAAATGCATTCAGGCCTCCGTATCGGTAGGTTCTGCATCTACAACCAAACACAGATTAAAAATACAGTATTTGCAGGATAAGAAACCACGTATATGTGGAGGGCCAAATTTTTGTATTCAGGGGTTCCACAGGGCTGACTATAGGATGAGTATGCTGAATTTTGGTCTGGGTGCAGACGTTTTTCCAAAGCACTCCATGTGATTCTGACACACAGCTAGCAGTTTAAGAAGCACTACTACAGGCCTCTTTATTTCACACTCCCTCAATCAAGAGATCCCAATATGACAGCCTATTTGCCACTCATTCATTACAAATGGATCGTCTCTGTCACTGTCTGATATTACCTGAGACCGAAATAGCCTGAGCTTCTGAGGTGTGGAA